ATATCTCACAAGAATCAAAGAATTCTTCCCTAGATCATTCACCAGAGCAATCACGTGAACAACAATCACGTGATCATGGTCATGTGGCTGAGAGATCACGTGATCTCTCGCATGACGATTTGCGTAAACATTTGTCTGAACTTTCACGTCATCGAGTTCACAATCCACGTGATTATTCACGTGATAGATCACACATTTCACGTGACTCTGGAGACTTCTCATTTGGTCATCCACGTAAATATAAAAGTGATGATCCGATGAAGGATTTTTCACGCGATAACTCACGACATTCACGTGACACTATGGATTTTAAACGTAAATATAAAGGCAATAATTCACGATCTACACGTGATTTGAAGGATTTTTCACGTGATCATTCACGAGATTTCTCAAAAGGTCATTCTAGTGGTCAGCCATCACGCATCTCTCCTTCATTGCGTGGAGAATCTCCACCTTTAATAACATGTAAACAAAGAGAATCAAGAAAAATATCTAGTTCGTCATATCATGAACACTTCCATCATTCAACTGCTACTGCTGCTGAACAGGCAGCTAATGTTGGTGACGTCGGGCAATCACGTGACGGGGATTTATTGAGAGAATTGCCACATTTTGATATTCCACGCATGTCATCAAGTAGATCGAGAGAAGTTGAAATAAGCAGACCATGTTTGTTGTCTCGATTAGGCGACCCTTGCATGTCATCGGCTTCATCTACGGAGACATCTTCGTCACAAAGCCTTTCATCGCGATATAATCATTCGTCAGATTCTCCAACCGAGTCAATGATGGCTTCGAGAAGTGATGTCATGAARCCCCAGACGCTATCATCACGGTTCAGTAATCAATCACCTCGTGTTCCCATGGCAACTATATCAAGTAGTGGTGACGTCAACATGCGTCAAACTTTGTCGTCACGTTTTAGTGATCCCTCAGTTTCACCTGTAGTTTCCACGGCAACTGCGACGTCGAGCAAACCACGCCTTATCGAGTTCAAATCGAAAAGTAACGAACTGGTAGCCAATGTTGTTCCTGATCGACAAAAACTTCCAACGCTCCCTTCGCTGGCATCAAATTCTACACTCCCGACCCTCCCACGGTTGAAATCGTTTAAACCCAGCGATAGTCAATCGTCATCACGTCCTAAGCTAAAAGGACTATCAACATCAAGAGATAAAMAGACTTTCGACGGTTACCCTAAACCTGATAGCAGCTATCGACAGAACCTTGCTATAATTGATATGCTGAGGGCTAAAAAATCGACTTTAAAGGCAGAAATAAAAAAAGATGATGTGACACCTGTCACTCAMGCCCGTCAGACATCAACTGAGGGTTATTCAAAACTACCGCCGTCTTTCACCCAAACAGAACTCAACCATACGCATAGCGATGCGAATTTCCATCGACCAAAATTATCTTCTTTGCTGTGTCAATCTTCACGAAAAAGCTGTCTTCCTGTGGCTATTGTTAGACCAAGAACAGCCGACTGCGAAAGTGAAGTCTCTTTAAAGGCTGAAGCCAAGCGCGAGCTCGGGACATCAACAGGTTCTGCTGGGATTTCGAACGTCAGTTCACGTGGAGGTGCTAGTATTTCTTCTGATGACGATGAAAGACTTCATAATCGACGGAAGGTAAGCTTTCTGTATCATATAATTGTCATTATTGCAAGGCTATTATGTTGTTATCTTTTGACATTGACAAGTTTACCTCACATTTTGGAATTTACTTTATTATCTGNCGCCAGCTGAGAATATTTTCCTTCTCACAGTAGTAAATTCGAAATAAAACGAGTAAAAGTTAAAATTTACCTTACAAACCGGCACATATATTAAGTTAAACGATTAAATTTTGCCTTTCGCGCCGTAGACGATTGAATTCTTTTTCTAGACCCAATCTCGTACCCAGAGACCGCGTTACTTTGGTCTGCGACAAAGAACGAGAGCTCTGGAATACACGAAAATTTCCCGCTCTCTGATTGGCTCATAAAATAAACACATTTACCGCCGGAAGTGATAGGAAGTCACAATGTGAATGTCCTGAGTTGACACACTCTAATCAGCCAATCAGCACGCGAGAATTCGCTCATGTAAAATGTTTTATATCTAATGTTTTATAATTATTGCATGTTAGGTCAATGAATCGAGTCAGGATGTGAACTACCTGCGTATTGCTGATTTGGTTAAAAAGTACGTCAAGAAATACAAAGGACTTCGAATACAGAGCGGGCAAATAATGACGTCAGAATGACGTACATGATTTCACGCAACGGTTACTACGCTAAGGATTGCATAAGCTACCTGGCACGTCTAGAAATACAAAGGACTTCGAATACAGATCGGGCCAATACAGACATCAGAATGACGTACAAGGACTACATGATGTCACGCAACAGTTACTACTCCAAGGATTACTACCTGGTGACCACAAACAAAGCATTGAAACGAGGCGACTAGGAACGCTGAACACAGATCTTTC